GTACACACCGTTCACTGTGGGCTCTCACTGTACACACCGTTCACTGTGGGCTCTCTTCACTGTACACACTGTTCACCGTGGCTCTCTGTTAGGCACTCACTCTGTAGTACACACTGTTCATTGTGGTTCTGTTTTCTTGGTAGGTACTCCAGTTAAAACTTGTTGCTATTGTTGATTTTGTTGAATTTGTTTTCTGTTGACTCTTCAGTCCAGGGTAGATTAGATCTGCCCCGTGGGGCCCCTAAGACCATGATATTGATGGAAGCAGACCTTTCGCCTGCACATCTTCCCCTGAGAACTGCTGATGGATTTGAGCTGTCAGCCTTTGGTTAGCAGCCAGAAACCTACGCACTGCATCACCAGGGCTCCTCCTTAGAGTTCTTTCTCTCATTGCTGTTGAGTCAGAACCCCTCATAGCTGACCCTGTGGTCTTTTTTCAGAGGCGGGCAGTCTGTCACAGAGGAGATTGTGCAGCTGTCCTACAGAACAGATGGTGATTCAGCCCGCCCAATTCTAGACACTAGGCTAACTGACCCCTTAAAAGAATTGGAAATGTATTATAATTAGAAACAACCAAAACATGCTTAGAATGGAACGGCCTGTTGCTTAGAGCATCTTGTTCTCTGTTACCTTCCTGTTTTGAAAGATGCCTCTTGTCATTGCTTTTCACGCAGTGTGCACCCCCTCTTGTGGTCGCGGCCAACATTGATGAGAAGACTCTGAAGAGGGAAGGGGTTTGTGCAGCTAGTCTTCCCACCACCATGGGTGTGGTTGCTGGCATCCTGGTACAGAACGTGCTGAAGTAAGTAAGTGAGGGCTGAGTTGTCTCCATAATTTGCTTTTGATTAGAAATAAATGTATTTCATGCTGATAAAATAGCACCAGCTAAGTAATTTTAGTTCTAGATATTTTTATTTCGTATAGTGTCGTCAATCCTCTCCGTTCAGCTGAGGATGGAAAATATCCAGGAAGAATTAATTAAGTGATCAGAGCAATCTCTTAAGGGCTAAGGAGGAGGTACAGATGCTCTTCACTTGGCGTTACATGATATTAGGTGTTACAGGTCACCTGGAACTAACAGCGCGGGGAGATGGGTGTTGATGAGGTGACAGTGCTGTTTACTTGGCATTACACAGTATTCGGTATTAAAAGCTAGCTCTGGTGGCCTAGTGTTAAGAAGCTGCACTGCAGTTCCCAAGGCAGTCAGTTTGAATCCACCACTGCTCCATGGGAGGAGGATGGGCAGTCTCCACTCATTCAGTTTTCTGACTCTGAAAACCTGCTGGAAGGTCACCTGTGGGCCCGTCTGATCTAAGGCACAAAACAGCAACATTAGGTATTATAGGTCTTCTTGGCTGAAAACAGAGAGTATCAGAGGAGTGTATCTGTGTTTTATTGACTATATAAAAGCATTTGACGTGTAGATCACAACAAATTATGGCTAACCTTGAGAAGAATGGGAATCCCAGAACACTTAACTGTGCTTATGTGAAACCTATACTTGGACCAGGAAGCAGTTGTCAGAACAGAATGGGGAAACGCTGCATGGCAGAATCCTTTCATCGTACCTTTTCAGTCTAGATATGGAACAGATCATTCAGGAAGCTGGACTTCCATGAGGTGGAATGTGGCATCAGGATTGGAGGAAAACTCATCAATCTGTGCTATGCAGATAACACATCCCTGCTTGCTGAAACTGAGGAGGACCTGAAATATTTGCTGCAGAGGGTCAAGGACTGCAGCCTTCAATATGGATTGAATGTCAACATCAGAAAACAAAGATTCTCTCTGGATTGCATGTCAACATCAGAAAACAAAGATTAAAAAAAAAAAGAAAACAAAGATTCTCACCACTGGGCTTATTGGCAGCACAGTGTAGATGGAGAAGAGATTGAGATTGTTAACAGCTTCAGCTTGCTTAGCTCCATAATCAACAGTCTTGGTACCAGTAGCCTGGAAATCAAAAGACAAATTACATTGGGGATGTCTGCTGTCAGGGACCTTTCTAGAGTACTGAGGAGCAACTTGATGTCAGTCTGGAGACTTAACCTGATCCAGGCCATGGTCTTTTCAATTATTTGCTATATATACATCAGAGAGCTGGATAATGACTAAGGATAACAGAAGAAAAATTGATGCCTTTGAGTGGTGTTGCTGGTGAAGAGTGTTGAACATACCATAGACTTCCAAGAGAACAAACAGATCTGTCCTGGAGAGAGTGGATGAAACCAAATTTCTCCTTGGAGGCAAGGATTTTGAAGCTCAATCTCACATACTTTGGACATGTAGCCAGGCGGACCAGTCCTTGGAGAGGGGCATACTTGGAAATGTGGAGGGACAGTGCAAGAGAGGAAGACCCCAGATGAGATGGAGTCACACAGTTACTGGAGTAATGGGGGTAGGTGTGTCAGAGACAGTGAGATTGGCTCAGGATAGAGCAGAGTTCAGAGCTCTTGTACACAGGGTTGCTATGAGTTGCAAGGGATTTGACAGCACATAACAGTGCTGACTTAGAGCACATGGGAGGATGTGTGTGGACTAGTTAGAATGTTATTCACCTAGCATTAGGTATGACAAGGCATCTAGAGCTGAGTTAGAGCGCACAGAAGGTTGTGTGTGGATGATGCAGGCACTACCCTGTTTTATATAGGGACTTGAACATCTGTGGATTTTGGTATCCCAGGGCCCTGCAGCCGGTCCTCCACAGATGGTTGTGTATTATGTCCATAAGTGTGTATGTTAAGATTTAATTTATATGTAAACATTTAATATGGATATCATTGTGTGTGTGATTTTTATATACATGCTGTAAAGCTTTTACATAAAATATACATAAAACATAACTTATATGCACCATTCTTCACTTGGATAGCTCTTGTCAGTGGCACAGCAAACCCACTGGCACCAGGTCAGTGTTGACTCACACAGACCCTAGAAGGGGCAGGTGGTGCAGTGTGGAAGCGCTTGGCTTCTCATGCCAATGTCAGCGGGGTGGTGTCTCTCACCTGCGGGCCCCTCCATGGAAGAGGTGGCATCTGCTGCGGTCACTGGTGTGGCCTCGGGAGCCCCTGGGACAGCACCACGCTGTCCTCAGGGCTGCTGTACGTTGGCATGGCGCAGCATTGCTGGTGTAAGGCTGAAAGTTAGTAGTTTGTAGGACATTAGCCAAATGATTCAGATCTGTGCAAGTCTAACCAACTGATGGGGATGTAAGCCTAAAAGCACTTGCTTTCATCATTTGATTAAACTCATACTAAAGAGAATCTTCTTCTGGTTAGTTGCTGTAAGTCAGTTCATGACAAGCCCCCATGGAAGGCAGGCCTGGCAGTACACTTCCAGTGGTTCCCTTGACAATCCCAGGCAGTACTCTTGACACACAGGGCTAATACCTCTGCTACAAAACAGGTATCCAACATTATCACCTCTGTAGGTGACAACAGGAAAGAGTGCAAAAACCGAGTTTCCACCAGTATCACCTCTCTCGGTTGGACAGAAAGAAGTGCAAAAACAGAAACCCAGCAATGCCACCTTTCTAACACTGAGAAAGCATTTTAGTATAGAAAAGAGAAAGAGAAAAAAGCTGCGTTAGTATAGAACATTTTTTAGCCACTGACAACGACTTCTGGAAAGGCAAAGCCCATTTAGGTGTTCCTTAATTTGGGCCATTTTTTCTCGTATAACAGCTATAATATACCTCATTGTGTTCCCTCGGCCTCCAGTATCCCAAGAACAAACTGGGACGTCTTAGGATGAGGTACTGTATCTCAGGCAGGAGTTTCAGTCATCGCATATAAATTCTAAAAAATACATATTTCTCCAGGCAATGCTCTTGGACTATTTCACATATGAACAGATAGTGTCAGTAGACTTTAGTAGACCCTAACTCAGCGTTTTATAACATAGTACAGAAAGAGAAGTGGTGCTTACAAGATGTTAGGGGCTATCATGGTTATGCCGTGCTGTACTGACAGACCCTGGGCCACTTGCTGTTCTGACCAGCACTGCTGCAGACAGCAGATGGCATGCTCTTGTACACTGGGTGGGATTCCATACAGTACGAGTTCTTACAAGTGGAATGGCTCAGTTTATTCCCTGGTTATCTTGATGACTCCTGTCATCTGTGTCCATCTATAGAGGTGTCCGTGGTGGGTCCACCCAGGAGGAGGACATTCCCTTCCACCTTTCATGACACTGTGCACTGTCAGTCTCTGATCTTTCTCAGTCTGGTAGGTGAGAAGGAGGAGGTGGTCATCAGGGGCCGGTGAGTTAGTGCCCAGTTCTCCAGTGTCACACAGCAGGAGTGAGTGCCCATCCTCCAGGATCCTCACACTTGCTGTGCGGGAGCCATTCAGCACGTGGGCTTCAGCACCTCCACCTTGCTGACAGGGTTGAGCACGTGTTCCTGTGAATTGGCTGCTCATGTCCTCTGCTCAGTTTTTGGTCTTCTCTATACACATCCTTACAGAGTCTTGGGCCCTAGTGTTAAACTGTGCTACAGTGCCAAAGGCATCAGTTCAAACCCACCAGCTGCTCCGTGGAAGAGACAGGCAATCTGCTCCTGAGCATTTACTTCCTCTGAAAACCCATTGGAGGGTCAGCTTTGAGTTGGTTCTGACCTGATGACACACAGCAGTGCATGTCCTTAATGTGCCCAGATGCAGCAAACCCACCGTTGCCAAGTCGGATCTCACCCATAGCGGCCCCTCCACTGGGGTTCCGAGGCAGCAGATCACATGGCAGATTGCCTGCCTTCCTGCCAGGCCGCTGCTGGTGGATGCCAACCAGCAGATGTGCATGGCGGGGTTGGTGCCGCCAGAACTCCTTCACTGTGGATTAACATATTTTGCAAATCTTTTCCGCTGGTCAGTTAATTTTTTTTAATTGGTTTGCATCCAGTTGTTCTGGCCAGTTACCTTTTATACTTGGCACTTGGGCTGTACCAAAGTTTTCAAAAGGACATTTGACTGGGACAGAGCACATCCCCATGGAATACTGGGGACACCCTGTATTTGATCTGGTGGCAACTGTTTGTGCTAAAATTCACTGAGCTGTACGTTTACAATCATAAACTGTATTGTAAGTTACAAATAAAAGCCCCAAGTTCCTGGTCTCAGCTCAACTGTTTGCCAGGCCAGACCCTCAGCCTCTGCTCACCTCCAGCCTCAGCTTGTCCAGCCACTCTGCCTCAGAACAGGGATTACTTCAGAGGTGTTCGCTCACTATCTTTGGTTGGTTTTCCTCTCATCAGTGTAGTCCTACAATACTAATTCTTAACCCTCCTCTAGCACATTACCCTGCCTTGCATGTAACTTTTGAACCCTCTTACCCTTCCTCATCTGCCATTCATTGACTGGGTGTAACAGGTAGAGGGAACTGAGGAGGAGGAGGCAGGCCTTAACCAGTAAGTGTTGGGGACAATGGAAGGGATGGTCTTAGGTAGCAGAGAATGACATTTGACCCTACCATGCCAAGATCTGGAGGACAGTCACTTGTCCAACTGACTGGAAGAGATCGATACATTTGTTCCCATTCCAAAGAAAGGTGATCTGACAGAGTGAAGAATATCGAACAATATCGTTAATACCATGCAAGCAAGATTCTGCTGAAAATTACCCAAACAACTGGAACAGCACATCAACAGAGCTGCCAGATGTGCAGCCTGGGTTTAGAAGAGGCCATGCTACTAGGGATATTATAGCTAATGTTAGATGAATCTTGGCTGAAGGCAGAGGGTACCAGAGGAATGCCTATCTGTGTTTCATTGACTATGCAAAGGCATTTAACTGTGTGGATCACAACAAACTACGGGTAACTCCGAAAAGAATGGGAATCCCAGAACACTTGATTGTGCTGATATGAAACCTATACTTGGACCAGGAGGCAGTTGTTAGAACAGAACAGAGACACTGTATGGTTCAAAATTGGGAAGGGTGTACGATTAAAACAAGCCTGGAAGCAGGAGTGGCATCCACTTCTAAAACAGCTTGCCTCAGAAACACTATGAACTTGGAGAAACAATGAAAGTTATAAAAGTGTTCAGGTCTTTTTGTTCATAGGGTCGCTATGAGTCGTCTATGACTCGATGGCACTTAAAGAGTATTCCCAGGAAGAGTTTGTACCATATGTCAGAGATTCCTAAGGCATACTTTATCAACATATTGACCTCCTTAAGTAAGGATACATCTTAAAAGTTGTTGATAAGCTGTTGTTTAGTGAGTGACATTTCCTGGTGGTCATAAAAAGTGTTTTTGCGTTGATGAAATGATCTTTTATTTACTTATTTAAAAAATATTCAAGCATCTGCTATGATCCAGTCCTGTGAGATTTAAAATGTTTGTTTTCTGGGTTTTTATGCTGTAAGAGATTGTAACTTATTCCAAAATCTTTTAAAATCTGTTACATCTTGGAGTACATATTTGGGTTTTATTCCTTGTTGGTGGTTTCTCTAGGTTTCTGCTGAATTTTGGTACCGTTAGCTTTTACCTTGGCTACAATGCGATGCAAGACTTCTTCCCCACCATGTCCATGAAGCCCAATCCTCAGTGTGATGACAGGAACTGCCGGAAGCAGCAGGAGGAACATAAGGTGCGCCTCACTCTCATGTTAGCGCCTTCGTGCTGGAGGTGGGAACGCAGAGCAGCCACAGGGATTGAGATTTGGAGTAGAAGAGAAATGGATGCTGGCTTCTATAAAGCTTTAATGCAGTCTCCACACTTCAAATGAAAGGATGTGTATGTTCAAATCCTTTGTCAATTTTGTTAACAAGCTCTGATTTTAATTCGTGGTTAACGCTTTAGAGAACTGAGAATGAGTGAACCACTTGATGCTGTTTGATTTGCACAGAAAAAGGCAGCAGCCCTGCCCCCACCGGAGGCTGTTGAAGAGGAGGAAGCCGTAGTGCATGAGGACAACGAGTGGGGTAAGAAAGTGCCTGTGAGCAAAAGCTTTATTGGAAGAGAATGTAATTGTTTTACAAATTTTAATAGTTATTTATTAAATCCTTTGAAAACTATTAAAGGATCAAATTGAATTCTATAGGAATCGAGTTGGTATCAGAGGTTTCAGAAGAGGAACTGAAAAATTCTACAGGCCCAGTTCCAGCCCTACCTGAAGGAATTACAGTGGCATATACCGTTCCCCAAAAGGTACCTCTGCAGTCGGACCTAAGCAGACATAAAGTCGCTTTGCTTACCAAGTGTAACAGATTTTTATTAATCAAGATAGTTTCTATATATTTAAAGATACCTCTTGGTAGAACTGTCCTACATATTGAATCATAGTGAATTCTGTGCCTGACACTCAAGAACTGTTGGGAAACTGAAGGACTCTTCACTTGCTTAAAAATCAGAGGCTTTGTAAACTTTTTATAAATTTGTTGGACATAGTTAAAGCTTACTCATTACATATTCCTAAATATTAAGACCTTTACTGTTATTTTTTTCACGGTTTCTCTCATTTGTTGATAGCAAGATGATTCTGGACTTGAAGTAACAGTGGAAGATTCTGGTGAAAGTTTGGAAGACCTCATGGCCAAGATGAAGAATATGTAGATAGTGACCTAACATTTATTTTATTTCCTTCTTTAACCGTATTCCTTTGCAGTTTAAAGAAAAATAAACTAATAAAATTTAGTGCAACATCAATTGGTAGAAAATCTTTATTGAATTTCTGTACTTTTTAAAAAGTAATCATTTATAAACAGTTGCTTTATACTCCTCTAATGAAATTAGTAATTCTTCTGAAAATTTATTTCTTCTCGTAGGTAGTTATCAAGATCATTTCCTTGAAATCTTACTGTTAAAATGTGCTAACTTCTCCTTTTTTGGACCAATCTGATGATGTATTCCATGATATTCTCAGAAGGTCCTGGTGCTTTGTTGTTTGAGAAGCAGTGAATAATAAATTCGCATGAAGGTCAGAAAAAGGGTAGTGATGGTTGCTCTCAAGCATCTCATCATTTTTCCCAGAATTACAAAGTTTCTAGAGAGTACTAATTGACATCTCACATGCTTTTTGATGAAGTACCAGCTGAAAGTGGTCTACTGTAAAAGTGTGTACATCTGTAAATTACATACTCAAAACAGAAGACACAGGCATATCAAAAGGGAGAGAAAAGTATTTTCAGAAAGTACAAGTTGCATTTTTTGTTTTACTCTTCCCTGGCCATTCCATCTGTGACACGTCTCTCTGGATTTACTGTATTTTATGAGGAACCAGGGTTACATTAAGGCTAAAACGTCCAGACTATGTCCATCATGTAGGGTACATCTGGGATATTTTACTTCATGTAAATCTGACTTCTGACTTCCTAGGTAGGTGGATACTGTAGAGGGATTTTCCATAGTGGTGGACATAAGACAAGAGACCTGACAAGAACCTGTGTTTAGGGGAGGAGTATCACCTGCCTAGATTACGACCACTGAATAAAGAATGGATGAACTGGTGTTCTGGGAGTTGCATACAAAAAAACATGAAAGCTTAGAGAGCCTTGACTCGAAGAAATTTCCGGTGATATCCACATCAGATTATAGGTTCATCCTTGTATAAAATAATACATCAAAATAGATGAGATTTTGCTTTAAGACATGAATGTTTAAATCGTATTTCTAAAGAAAAAAATTGATAATGAAATATTAGAAGTATATATTACCTACTTATGAAATGAAGTTCTAAAAATGGATCTTGGGACTCAAATACCAAATATGTACAGTGTTTTCATTTTATGGTTCTAGATTAATACTATTAATTCTTAAGTTTACACTGAAATCAAGAACATTGTGGGACTAGTATGTACTACTCTTGAGAATCTTACGATGTCTCAGTAAGTAATTTACAGTTTTAAAAAACTTGGTTGAATTAATCTATAAAAATATTTCCTAGTTACTAGATATGATCTGAATTTTTAAAATACTGTATCTAAAATTCTTTTTTGGGACACTGTAATACTAATTGATAAGGTTTCACTTATAATTAAAAATACTACAGTTTGATAAGGTGTAATAGCTAACACACCTGTCCACTTCTAAAAATGTTTTTATGCCCTCTTACCTGATGCTCACAGCAACATTGTTGGGGTCTTTATATTGAACCAAATGTCCTCTTCCCCCCTCCCCCCAAGATCCTAAGATCTAACATTAAAAGCTACTTAACTCGATTTTACCAAACAAGAAACAAGATCTGGTAACATTGGCTGCTCCTCTTCCAAATGGACCCCCTCGGCTGATTAACCAGTTCAGCGTAGGGAGCAGTTCAACACGAGAGAGAAATCACACTGGTTAACTGTGTGCTGATCCAATTTGTGAAGGTCCTTGACAGTGTGAGTACTGCCCTGGCACGGAAGCTCAAAGGCCCAGTCATTTCTTGATTATTATTAACAGGCAGTGGATTTGTGGTGCTCACCACTCAGTACTGTGGAGTTGGAACTTCCCATAGCCTGTCCTCCATTAGGTTTCCAGACTTGTCAATTGCATGGAAGAGATTCTCCCTCCCTCTGAGCTGGCAGTGCAACTCCCTGTACGCTAGGCCACCCAAGCTCCCAGCTAGCAAATGCTTTCAAGTGGCAGGGAAAATGGGCATCGTGGTTTCTTAGGAGAGTATTACATCATACCTACACTGACGAACGCAAAGGTAGTGCAAAGAGTTTTTCTTAGAAAGCTTTGCCCTCACATAATTATTTTTTTTTAAATGGCTTTCTGTAAAAGCTGATTAATAGATTATAATTTAAACCCTACCAGTTCACATTTGGAATCTGTCTCAGTGTTAGGTTCACTGTGATGGTGTCTTGGGTTAATATACTAGTTAGTATTGGGGAGTTCTGGTAGTACAGTGGGTAAGGATTCTAATACCAACCCAGACGTTTGAATTCACCAGCTGCTCCGATGGAGAAATATGAGAAGCCCTGCTGGAGGATCAGCCGTGAACTGGTTCCAGCTTGAAGGCAATAATGAGCTGAGCTGCTGAGAGTGAACATTAATACACTAATATTTTATCAGTGTGTATCATATTGTGAACATAATATTAGTTCACAGAGGATGTTTGTTCAGTTGTTTTATCTTACATAGGCATCCTACATGGAAACATCTGAGTCATTACTATAGGAAATCACAAGATACTGTAGTAGTTCTTCTGAAATAATTATTCCCCAATTGTAGTTAGTAAATTTTACTGTAGTGTCATTTTCAGTATTTCAAGATATGTTTTTTGAAGCTCAAATTTTGTGGAATCCAAGAATGAATACACAAGCTGCAGCTGGTCATCTTGTTGGGTCCTGGAGCAGCAAGTGGCAGTTCTTTCCCTGGCAGCTTGAACTGAAGTGCACAGGAAGCTACTTACACAGCTAAGACTCAGATTTCAAGCTCTAATGGCTGTAAAATCCCTGTCTAATCTAGGCAAACCCAGAGATAAGTTAGTCATATTTATCTTTTCTCTCTTGAACTGAAGTGAAAATGGGAAGGATGCTTACTTTACGTCTTAATTTTTCTCATGTTTACACTAGAAGAATTTAATGAAATAACATATGAGCAAGAGCCTATGGTGATGAAGTTCAAGCGGCTTTGGAGGAAACAGCAAAAAATAAGGCCCCAGGAATAGATGGTATACCAGTTGACGTATTTGCTGCCCTGGACGTGCTCACCAAGTTGTGCCAAGAAATCTGGAGAACAACCACTTGGCCAACTGACTGGAAGAGATCTATATTTGTTCCCATTCGAAAGGTGACTCAACAGAGTGTGGAAACTATAGAACAATATTGATTTCAAATGCAAGCAAGATTCGACTGAAGAATAGCCAAAAACAACTGGAACAGCACATCAGCAGAGAACTGCCAGAAGTCCAGGCTGGGTTTAGAAGGGGTCGTGGTACTAGGGATATTGTAGCTGATGTTAGATGGATCTTAGCTGAGAGCAGGGAATACCAGAGGAATATCTATCTGTGTTTCATTGATTATGCAAAGGCGTTTGACTGTGTGGATCATAACAAACTGTGGCTGACTCTGAAGAATGGGAATCCCAGAACACTTGATCATGCTAATGTGAAACATATACTTGGACTAAGAGGCAGTCGTCAGAACAGAGCAAGGAAACACTGCATGGTTCAAAATTGAGAAAGGTGTACACCAGGGATGTGTCCTATATCCATAGCTTTTCAATCAGTATGCAGAACATATTATTCGAGAGGCTGGGATCTGAGGAGAAATGTGGCGTCAGGATTGGTGGAAGATCTATTAACAATCTTGTGTTATGCAGATGACACAACCCTGCTTGCTGAAACTGAAGAGGACCTGAAGCGCTTGCTGCAGAGGGTCAAGGATTGCACCTTCAATATGGATTGAGCCTCAATGTCAAGAAGATAAAGATTCTCACCACTGGACCAACTGGCAGCATCAGGATGGATGGTGAAGAGATTCAGATTGTTCACAGCTTTAGTTTGCTTGGCTCCACGAGCAACACTCTTGGCACCAGTAGCCAGGAAATAAAAAAAAAAAGTTATTGCGATGGGAAAGTCTGCTGTTAGGGACCTCTCCAGGGTACTTAAGATTAATGGTGTCACTCTGGAGACCAAGGTGTGTCTAATACAGGCCATGGTCTTTGCAATCACTTGTTATGCATCAGAGAGCTGGACAATGACTAGGGAGGACAGAAGGAGAATTGATGCCTTTGAGCTGTGGTGCTGGAGAAGAGTGTTGAATACCCTGGACTGCCAAAAAAACAGATTCATCGTGGTCAGAGTTAAACCAGGCTGCTCCTTGGAGGCAAGGATTCTGGGGCTCCGTCTAACATACTTTGGACATGTTGTAAGGAGGGACAGGTCCTTGGAGAAGGACATTCTGCTTGGGAGGGTGGAGGGACAGCTCAGGAGGGGAAGGCCCTCTATGAGATGGATTGATTCAGTGACTGGCGTAATCGGGATGGGTGAGAGGCAGTACGTTTGGCACAGGATAGAGCAGGGTTTAGGGCTGTTCTACATAGGGTTGCTATGAGTTGCAAGCAACTTGATAGCACATAACAACAACAACACTACTACTATTCAGGGTTGCCTGGTGGCCTAGAGGGTAGGGAGGTGTGCTGCTAACCTCAGGCCACATTGCCCTGGGGTTTGAATCCATCAACAGTGGGAGAAAGATGGTTGGTCTCCTGTGTGATTTACTGCCTCTGAAAACCCACTGGGGGATCAGCTGTGGGTTCGTGCTGTCTTCACAGCACAACCACAACCTGAGTTGACAGCACAGGACACAGTAGTATAGTACCTTAGAGGTCTAGCAGATTCTGAGCAGTGTCACCTTTCATGGAAAACATACTTGACCTCTCACCCAACGATCAAGCTAAAATGTATATTCAGGTCGGAGGGAGTTTACTAAGTTCCCAGCCGGGTGGTTCGCAGGACACAGGTTCAAGGATCCTGTGAGTAGCAGGCCTGAGGGGATGCCAGCCTAAACCCTCTAACTGTTAGCAACCCTCAAATGAGGACACTGGTCAGGTGCTGTAATGTTTATTAGCATGTGGAATGTTCCCGCTGGTATAAGCTGAGGGAGGAGATTCTTAAAATTGCAGTTCTGTCTTCCACTCTAACAACTGATGTACATTCAAATCTTACAAGTATTAAAATTATGGAATTTTAAATTATATATAAATATATCAAACAAACTATCTAAAAAATTGTATTATAAACTACACAAAGCAGAGGCTGCTGTGTCCCTGTTTGGTGACAGGTCAGCAAAGGCCACCAAGCCTGGCACATCACTGCGTTGACACCACCGCCATGCAGACACCTTCAGTTCCCCTGAGTCGGTTTGACTGCGTGCTCCTCTTCCTCCTCACGGTCATGGCTGTTCGTGAGCCTGTTGCTGCCACGTGTTGGTCCAGCTTCGTGAGGCTTTGTGTTTTCACTGACCACCTACCGAGTACACGGTCTCTTCAGGGACTGTTGTGATAACATGTCCAGCGTGCACCTCCCCGTCCTCTTCTAAGGAGGGTCCTGGCTGTATGTCTTCATAGACTGTTCATGGTAATGCTCAAGCTTTGCTGACACCGTTACACAGATGATTAAAATAGTATTCCCTTTTCACTGTCTAGCTTTCATACAGGTATGAGAGGATTGTAAGGTGATGGGTGTCTTGTAGCCATACCACTCAGAACATGCCCAGTCTAATCAGAGAGTACCCCAGTTTGGGTCAGGGTACCTTAGTCCGCAAAGTGACATCTTGACTTTTCAGTATTGTAAAGGGGTCCTTTGACACCAACTGGCCCCAGAAATGTTAGGGGTAGGGTAGGTCCAATGCGAAAGCAGAGGGCTAGCCCAATCTGCTCAAGGAAAATGGAGAGTTAAAAATAATGGTCATCAAGGATTCCCATCACTCATTCCTTTCACTGAAGACACTCAGACTTTGGTAACATCATCCATCACCACGTGAAACATCTCTGAGGCCAAGAACTGGGTCACACTCAAAATAAGACGACCAGTATCTTCTGAAAGGATGAAGAGTGCAGTTCTTGGACAGAGATTCACCTGTCATTCAATGTGGCGGCCACCTCGGATCCCACAGGAAACCGGGGAAATTAGAACAGTTGGAATGGACACTCCAGTGTCAGTGTAGTCCAGTACCACTTCATACACATACCAGCTAAATCACACAGTTAAGCTGTAGAGAGCAAATGTTCCCTGTCCCTTATCCTGAGGCAAACTGTCACCTCTGTCCTTGAGGCAGGAGCATGTTGGGCGAATGGGCCATTTTCACGCTGGGGGTGTCTCCACTGGACGACTGCTGTGAGGGTGCCTTTCCGCCCAGCAGTGAGGTTTCTGCATCTTTTATTTCCATCGCCCTTTTGTACAGCTCAGTAGCCTTCTCAAAATCCCCTTCTTCATAGCTTTCAGAAAAAACAAAGCTCATAAGGTGACAATTATTACAAGCTCTCAATTTTAAGTAACCTCGTTAGGAAAACTCGGAATAATTTCCATTTTTTCCCCTTTCCTTTTTTGATGCATTTATTCAGCAGCTGTCCTGCTGTGGAACATTCCAGAGTGTCACAGCATTAATATGGCATAGTAATGGTGCAAGATATTGCTAAGGAAGTTTGCAGTCTGCATCTCTGATAAACACACACAAAAAGACAAATTGCCTACATCACCCTCGGCCAGTTCAGTTAAACATGGACCGTCCATGGCACAGTCGAGGGTGTACAGCCATCGTGTGACCCTTCTGACTTCTTAAACTAGGTCAGCAAAAACAACACACATACCTTCTCAACACCAGGGAAAATGACCCCCCAGGAAACATTTTACCACTTCCAGGAGCCAAACCGAAGCTGCTCTGAAGAAGTTAGAATTGGACGGCTATTAAGAAAGTGCCAAGACTCTTACCTAAGCACGGCTAGATTTTTTAAAGTTTCTCCCACTCGAGGATGCATCCGGCCCAAGCTGTCTTCATAAATCTTCAAAGCTCTTTCATATAATGGCAAGGCTTCGATGTGCTTTTTCTTATTAAGAGAAAATTCACTTGGTAATAGTGGGTTTATGAAATTACTAGCTATGTATTCTAGACTAAGCATTTTAAAAAAAAGTTACTATCCCTAAAAGATTTTGATAAGGTTAATAACACAACAGAAGAGAAGTGGTATAAAAGACTCAAGTTGGATCATAATCCAATAATTTAAACAAAATCCTCTTTTTCACTGCGCAGTGGGTCCCTCACCATCACCAGTAAACGCCATGAGCTTAGAGGTAACAGCGTACGAAGGGAGGGAGTTTAGAGTTGGAACAAGAGCTCAGCTTCCATGAACCGAGTCAGTGTGGTAAGTGAAAGGGAGGGACCATCTGACACACAGCACTGAGAGCAGATGGTCATAAATCGTATCTAGTTACTTCTACTCTGCTATGCCTGACTTGTTTCCGTTTTACACCTAAAATCAATTTAAGAGTGAAAATGGGGGGGGGGGATTGGGGAAAAAAAAAGAACTTACCATCTGGCTGTGAAGAACCGCGAGGTTCACCAAAGCCGTGGCAACACTAGGGTGCTTTGCACCAAAGGATTTCTGTCTAATTTCAACAGCCAGTTCGTATAAAGGCACAGCCTTGTCCAGTTTTCCCTAAAAGAAGAATAAAAGTGAAAAAGCTAATTAAGGGTAATAGGAGGTAATACCAAGGCTGAATCCCACTGTCAGGACGAGCTGTTGGGTAGAGCCCATGACGACTCAGGAGCCCTGTGGACGGCAGGTCCAAACCTGCCCACTGTTACAGTCACGGAGCTGGTCCACGCCACACAGGCTCTTCCTCTCTGTCTCTGACCCTTCCCTTTTCCTAGCATGTTGTCATTTTCCAAGGACTGGGCCCTCCTGACAACATGTCCAGAGTATCGGAGACCCCGTGTCCTGTCCTTGCCTCTCATGAGCACGCTGCCTGCTCAGGGCCCACCAACAGCCTGGAACTGCACTCAGTGAAAGAACTTCTCTTTTTCATTTTTATAAAAAAATAGTTCTAAGAAATTCCAATTACAGAGCTCTATAACAACAAAATAGTTACATTTACTTGCATACAAAGTAAAGAAAGAAGTAAAAAAAAAAGCTCATTTAAGTAACTAACAGGCCCTCATTAAGCCTTGACAGTTTAGTGCTCTGTTATCTCTCTATTTTATGCAGCAAACAATGCTGGGCAAATGTTACAACTTCTAAAGTGTAATGAAAAAAACAAGTCTTAAGTACAATGCTGATGAATGCATTTGCATTTAAAATGTGTTTTCACAAAACCAAAGCAGTCTTAATTCAGTAAATCTGAAATGATATTTTAAATGTTTCTAAGCCGCTGCTCGTTATAAAATTATTTAAGTGTTCACATAAAAGAATTTACCTTTCAGAAGACAAATTATTTTGTTGATAACAGCTATGGTTTACATGGTATAGCCTAAGCGGGGCACGGCTGCTCACCATTTTCTTGTACAAGATGGCAAGGTGCTTGACCGTGTAGGCCAGGGACGGGTGATCGGGTGCCAAGGCCCGCTTCCGAATGTCCAACGCCCTCTCGTAGAGCTCCGCGGCTTTGCCGAGCTGCTGCCTCTCGTGGCACAGAGCTGCCAGGTTGTTCAGGGACTGGGCACAGTCCGGGTGGTCTGGTCCTAGCAGACGCTCCCTCATTTCTAAGGAGCGCCTCAGAAACTGGTCAGCGGTGCTGTGAACCAAATCCCACAACAGTCCAGCCTGGTTAGTTGCTAATAGGAAGAAGACTCTGCCCTCACTAAGTGGTACAAAGAGTTTTCATTCTTAAATCTAAATGCCAAGGCCCCAGCTGCTGAGTCAGTTCTGGCCCTGACGGTGCCACACAGGTCAGGGCGTCCAGGCAATGATGAGCACTGCCCAGACCATTCAACCTCCCTGCAGCTGCTGGTGGGTCCCAACTACTGACCTGTGGTTATCTGCTAAGCACTTAACCACTGCATCACCAGCACCTCTTAAAGCCAAATCGTGAAAACCCAAGGTGCAGCTGAAGATTCTTTTCCTGCCCTTTTCTGAAATGCTTTCCTGATGACTGAGGCCCTGAACTTTCAGGAAGATTACCCCAGTTCTCCACCTGTCTTTATCAAAGTTAAACCCTATTAATATTTTCCCAAACTTTGTAAACTTTTAAATTTAATAGACTTAAGGAAACAAAATACTCTATCCCTCATTCTCCTCATGGTTGCACCCAATTAGTTATTAATAAAATAATTTCTGTGAAGTGGAATTAATACTCTTTTCCTGATTTAAACACAAAAAATATAATTAAAAAAATATTCACATAAATGCATTTTGATTTATATCCAAACAAATGAACTAAATCCAGCAGCATCCAGAGTCTTGTCTTCATTCTCCCACCGCCCTGCAGGTTCTTCAGTGGCTAGGTTCATGACAAAATTACTCAATCTCAGCACAGATTTTATCAATTTCTTCTAGATTTAAAGGTGACAGAATATAAAATGACTTTGTGTCAAGGAAACAAAACCGATACATGTCCTCATGATGAAGTGTAGCACTCACTCCAGGTCACACTGTCCTCATGATCAGGGGTGGCACTCACTCCACGTTACACTGTCGTTA